TTTTTTTTTAAATTTTTTTTTTTTGAGGATTATACCCAAAACTAGACCCGTCAATATTGGACCCGACCCAAAAATTCGGGATTGGGTTGACCGAATCTGAAGTGGGTCGAGTTCGTCTTCTGGAAACCACCCGTTTGCAAAACCGGGTCGGGTTCGGGTTGAACGCGAAAACCGGAATGACCCGGAAAACCCATCTGCCCTGGTTGTCCATGTGACCGCATCAAATCGGCGCGGGCCGATCTTCGAGACATGGAGCTAAGCGACGCGCGTCTCCCGCTGCCGTCCCCCGCGATGACGCTGTCGTCTCCTGCTGCCCCGCCTGTCGCCGTCTCCCGCGTTGCCTGCACCATCGCGCTCCGTTAGCCTGCGGCGTCTCCTGCGTGGCCTGCACCGAGCGGTAGGGTCGGTGACCCGACCAAAGCGGGTCGGTTGACCGAACCCAAAGCGGAGGTCGATTTGGGTCCGAAAAATTGACCCGTTTGCAAAAACGGTCGGGTTGACCCGAGTTGACCCGAACCCAAATAGTGCCGGATCATTTTTGGGTTCGACCCGAACCCGACCCGTGACCCGAATTTGACAGGTCTATCGAAAACTTTCTTTTTGTTCTTTCGGGATATGCATTTAAGTTCAACTTCCCTTCAAAGAATGGTTTAGGAGTCGTTCATCAAGACTTAGGCTTTATTTGAGACAAATTTTTTTATTTTTTAAATAGCATTTTAGTATAAAAATGTTTTGACTTAGAAAATTTTATACTAAAAATTTATTTTAGAAAACAATAAAAAAGCTGTCCCAAATGAAGCCTTAGGGTCCATTTGGGATAATTTTCTGGTTGCTTTGTTTTTGAGATAGCTGCCGTAATTTTATTTTGCTACTATTTTCTTGTTACAGTTTTATTATTTTTAGAATTTTTTGTAGTAGAAAGTTGTTTTCTATAACTATAGAAGTAAAGTTGCTTTTTCCATATCAATTTTATAAAACTCTGCAGGTGTCTCAAATAAATTCTTGATGATTTCTGTCAAATTATCTTTTTTAATGGACATTATGCATATTTTCACACAAATTTTGGGTCATACACATCTCAATAGCTATCAACATAAAGCTGGTGTCTTATAAATTCATATTATCTTTGATTTTATACAAGAAGAATTTTAAAAAATAATCTCTGAAAAAAATTAAATATAGGAGCTTTCTCCTATATGAAATAAAAAATATTCAAATAAAATATATCTAATTCGGTATATTGGGAGGAAAACCACTTGGAAAAATTTAAATCAGTTGCCATCTATGAACCAGCAAGGAGTTATTTTTTCTACCTCTTAATATATTACATCTTTTTCCTTTTGTAAAGTCATTCGAAGCCCACATCCTGCTAAATTTTTGTCTTTTTGAGGCAATTTTAATTAGAAGATATCCATGCATTTGCCTTACATTGCTTTTAAGCTTTCACCCACAGAAAGCTATTTTGCAGAGTACTAAGCAGTCAACAATATAGCATTGAGTGTAAAGGGAGAACTTTATTAGTTATCCTTCTACATGTTTATTCAAGAGGGTTCTCCATTTTTCTTGGTTAGGCTGAGTTGATGGAATGTTCATCTTGAGCAACTTGTAAAAGAAGAGATGGAAACCTTCTTTGATGTTTTTTATAAACAATTTATCATGGTAAGTTTTAATAATTAGATCCAATCTTGAGAGATTTTGATGAGACTAGCGAAGTTGAAAGTTCAAATTAATTTTTCACTGCATTCAAATGTCCAAATCTAAAAGATTATCTGATTTTCAAACATTTATAAACTTCAAGAATCCAAATGAGCCCTTAGATGCAGCCAAACAACCTCATAGTCAATTTCTTTCCCAATGCTTCATAACTTCATTATTCTACAACAATTTGAGGATAGTAATCACTACATTTGTATCCACATTTTGTATGCAATGATTTAGTTCTCACATTTCATTTGACAAGTTGAAATGTGATAAATACCATTAAATAGAGTTTGCAATTGTTTCACAAACAGGAAGATCTTCTTCAAAGTATGGTGCAGCTCTCAGAATAGGGTTTTTATCAAAGAAATTAACAGGCTTAAGATCAAAGCTAGATGATACTGTGGGCATTAAGGGATAGTCCTCTTGACAAGGTATATGGTGAAATCCTAATGTGTACCAAGTCACAATGTCCTTGTTCTCTATTGGCCGGTTCCTGAACAAAGCAAATTAAGTTATTTTAGGAACAAATGAAATAAAATATATAAATTCAGTTCTCTTTATAATGTTGCTTTACCTCTCAGACCATACTGCAAGAGTATCATCTCCTCTACTTTGATATGCAAAAAGGCCACCCGCCCATTCCTCACTTTGGTTATATGGTGTTATCCAGATCTATAAAAGGTTACTGAAACTCAGTATCACTGTATCATTGCATCAAAATAATAGTATTATCTACTTTTGCTATGATTCTTGATTGGTCATTACTACATTTAAAAGAGTCATGCAAAAAGTTCATAAAGGCATAGAGTGAGAGAAATTATCATGTGCGGAGACCGCACGCAGAACGATATCAGGAGACCAGTCAGAATGCGCTATGTCAGCGGTACCGAGCCGCGATACGGAGCGGTACCGAGTTGTGATGTTGAGGGAAGAGATGATGTGGCGCATTTTGGTTGGTCTCCGCACATAATTATCTCTCGTAGAGTGAAGGCACAATGAGGCCCTTCTTCTGATGCTAACATGCAAATGCAGCAAGCTTGAAGAAATTTTTTTTAAAAAAAAAAAAAAAGCATTCACCTGGTTATTTGTGAAACCACTTCTCAACTGTGGAGGATCTGCGAGATCAAGCAAGCTCGCAGCAGTTGCAGCAGGAACAATCTTATATCCAGAAGGATTTCCAACCTTAGACAACCTTGCAGGGTTCACTACATGAAATTCTGAGGGATCATAGAGGTTTAGTTTTATCCGTCCATCTTTCTCAGTCTTGGCCACTTCTCTATTGAATTTAAGAATGCTTTTCCTTGGAGATTCTTCAGGTGAAATCTCCTGCTTTGTCATGTGAACCTTTACAAAGGAGTTGTTTGGGCCATCGATGTCCATGTCCAGATAAAAGGTGATGAAGTGATCATGTGTTATTCCTATCAGATTCTCTGTCACTAATGTTCCATGGAGGTCATGTTCCTTGGGAACTTGGCTCATGTTCTGGTATACTGTTCCTTTCACCATTAGCATGCCACTAAGACTTACCTGTACAAGTTTTTTTTATATATATGTTAACATTTAGGCTTCATTTGAGACTGCTTTTTATT